TGGCATACTTGCTGCCGCTAATTTATTGTAATAAATTTTATAAGTAAATAAGCAAAACAATGAACTCATAAAATTTTGTATATGTGTTTGTGTGAAATAGGTCGAGGTTTCGGGGCAGCTGACCAAGAAACCAAACTGAAACTGAACTTCTTTGTGTTAATGCGGTGTACGTGCGTGTGCGCTTTGCCTACTTTTCCTTGACCATTTGATGCATTTTCCATTTCGAAAATTGAGTTCAACGCAACCTAATGAATGTTATGAACAACTTTTTTTGTCTAATTAAATTAATTACGATTACCTAATACGGGTAAAAGTAGGAACTTGGCTTTTTAGTGAAATGCCGGAAGTGCTCATATACATACATACATATGCGCATAGTATGTATACATATTGCAAGTATGCATGTGCTGGGTGTGAAATGCATATTTGATGCGCTTAGAAAACAATAATAAAAGTAACATAAAAAATCAGCATAAAAAGCAAAAATTTTGTTAAGTTATTGGAATGCCAACAGCCAGCAGGCAGAGGAAGCGCCAGCGCTGAAAAATTCAAAACAATTCAAAATGCATATTCAGTTTTTCATTTCTGCATTTTTATTTTCGCTTGCTATTATTATTATTATTATTTTTATTTTTTTATTTTGTCCATTTAAAATGAGCGCAGTTGTTGAGTCAGCTTGCGGTAGCGCGGCGCGTCGCTTCTGTGCTCGTACGTGAGCGGCGCTGTGCCGCCATTCAATTGAGAAATCTCAAGGAAATTGATGTGCTACAGAAGTACTTATAAGTATATAATAATGCAAAATGCATGAAGTCATCTGCCGTGAAAACTGCAGCAGCTACAAATACAGCAGACCGAAGCAGAAAAAAAAAAAATAAAAAAAAAAAAACAAAAACAATGCAGCAGAGATAGTAATGCAAAAAATTGCATGCAACAGCCATACAAGTGACTCAATTGCTGTAATGATTGTTGTTGCTATAACATTTTTTCTTCTATTTTGCTTGTGTGAATACGCTTGCGGGAGTAAATTTGCATAATGCAAAAGAAGGGGGAAAAAATTAAAAAAATATATATATATACATAAACACGAAATAAAAATGTATAAAGAAACGGAAAACCACAAAACAGAAAACGTAAAGCAAGTTGTATGGAAGAAATGCATAAAATGCGAGCTTTTAGAATCCAGCAAACAAAAAACGAAACATTTAAAATCTGCTGTTATAAATCAGCATTGCAATCATCTGCTGAGAATACTCACGTTTGTAGCTATGTAGCTATGTATGTGTGTAGTGGTGTTGGATTCTCTTCTTACTAGGCAACTACTTTGAAATCCAATTCTTTTAGTTGTTACAGTCGTCTGCATTATTTAAACAGCAAATATAACGGTTTCGCAAACAAGCTACATAAATACTTAAACTAATGGAGACGACCAAGTGCTTACGGCAAGTTATGAATATGTTAACTTAACAACACAACTATTGCATATTAATATACAAGTGTGACTTCGTGAAAAAAAAAAATAAAAATAAACAGAAGAAAACAAGAACCATTAGATTTTGTAATTGTAAATGCCACTTTTGCACATTTGTTATTACTCTGATCTCGTGGTGGTATCAGATTTATTTTAATGCAGTAATATAACGACTACGAAGTTATAATGATAGCAAAATTTATAAAAGTAAACACTCGCTACATGTAACTGGTTCGAGTTAGTTAGTCTATTCTTCATAGTAGGCTCATGTGTTCACAAGCCGTTTCAATCAAGCTTATGGTACTTAGAGATTCTATAAAGCATAATTTTAAATAATTAATTTTCTTTTACTTTGAGCACCCATGAACTACAAAAAAATCTATAAATTCTTCAGCATATTCTTATTTGTTTAAAGTCTCAAATAAATGCAAGTTCGCTACTTAAGTCTTTTGATTTCCGCAACAGAATACAAGCGCCCATATGAACTGTGATCTAGAATTGTAAATTTGATCCGATTTTGCCAAAATTCGAATGAAAGACAATATTCCAAAAGATGAGGATTAACTTAATATCACCCTTTCTCTACTAAATGGTGGAATTACCCAATACGAATAGTACATACCTACATACTTACGTAAAACCCGTATCGAATTGACCTAAAATCTTTAATATATTAGAACCAGGTGTCATGAAATGTATGTAGTTTGCATCTTTATTTAAGTCCTTCAGTGAGGAGTATAGATCGGATTAAGGAAATGTAATAAGTTTACATGTCCTCAAACTTCCCTGACTTCACTATAAATCTGCGAAATCTGCTGATCTATTCTTAAAACATCTCGACAAAAAATACGCCACATTCATAATAATTTTAGATTGTCGCTTACACAATATGTTAGTGTTTGGCCGAGCTTCTCCTGCGATTTGTGGCATGCGCCTTGATGTTGTAACACAAAGCGGAGGGACCTACAGTTTTACGCCGACTCCGAACGGCGATTGTATTTTTATTGGAAGCAGTTTTTCATGGAAGAAATACACTCGGAGGTTTGCCATTGTCTGCCGAGGCACATAGGGGCATTTGGCCGATTTAGGCGGTCAAGATTATTTTTATGAATATTTCAACTCGAAATATTCAGAAATTGCGTGCTTTGACATTTGGAATTGTAAATGTTTAAAATCAAGTAACTAGGAATGGAGCACATTTAATTATTGAAAAAAGTTTGTCAGTTTGTAGAAACACGCATACCTACATATTCGTCTCGGCGAGAAGATGGTTCATATCTAGGTTAGAACACTAAAAGGGTTGCCACCTGTTGAAAAATTCAATTCAAGGCCTTAAATCTAAACAACATGTGGGTGGCTGCCACCTGTTTAAAAAAATCAAATTCAAAGAGATTATTCCAAGCATCGATTTTGAGTTAACTTGCTTCAGTAGTTACTGATTTATCGAAGTTTTCGTGTTTCTGTAAATTACCGTTATATGGGAAGTGGGCGTGGTTATTTCCCGATGTCAAAGATTTTAAACATATTTGTTGGATAGACCCTAAGTTCGTACCGAGTTTAGTGGGGATTGGTGAAGCTGAGCTACTGACATAGAGCATTTCATCATAAGTGGGCGGAGCCGTGACCATTTTCTAAAAATTTTATAGTAATCTTATTTTGTACCCAAAGTTTATTTCTCATACCAATTTTCAACAATTTGGATACAATATTTACTAAAATGTACATTTACTGTAATGTTCATTTATCTCAATTTAAATGCTTATATATACAAAACTATTTTTTTAATTGTAAAATTGTTACATAATACCAATTTAAAGGAAAACTAATCTTTATTCCGAAATGCACAATATAGTGGGGTTCGCCTTACATTCCTGGAGATTTCTAGCAACAGAACCGAAACGTTATAGAAAACATGACTTTTGCTTATATCTGGAGAACTGTTTTTCGAAACATTAAATGGATTCCTATTGTGATTCAGCGTTTAATTTAAAGTTTAATTAAAATTAAATTTAAGTTTAATTTTATTGATAAAATAGCTCTAAAGTTGTGGTACCATATACTAGTAGAGTTTTTAGATTTTTCTTTAATACCAATTTAAATCCAATTATCTGTGGGCAATCTTTTCACACCACATTAGCCAAATTTCTTAGCTTTCAATTGAACAAAGAATAATAACGCGATCTATCTCGGGTATTCAACAAATTCCTTAATATTCAACGAAAATTCAAAATACAAATACTCGTTGAAAACTGCTATTTTCATTACATTTAAATTGAACTTTTGCTTAATAAAATGATTAAAAAATCTAACACTTAATTACATTACTACTTTCTGTCTATGGATCCATCACTACGTTTGAAGAATATAAATTAAAAAGTCACGATCTTTCTAAGTAGATAGCGAAAATTTATTTATAAGCAGCGTTAGAATATTCTGTTTCTGGTCAACGGTAAACATTCGCTGTGCAAGTTAGAAAAGTGAGAGGTACTGTGAAATGTTATTACGAATCTTCTCTATCTATCTATTTGCTCCGTATATGCGAGGGGCGACCGCTATTAAAAAAAAATATTTGCTTTTCTTTGTTTTATGTTAGTCGGAACCTGGGCTTAAACCCAGGCCCTGCGGAATGGTAGCGCGCTTTGCTAACCACTACACCACAGCGGCCGTCAATTAGTAAGAAGAGAAATCTAGGCCTAAGAAGTGAAATTGGTCTGTATTTTGATGCTCTTCCAGTGTACATTTGCATGTTTGAATTTTTTCGATACTTTTCTTAATCATTTCATTTACTTACCCTTTTCATTAACTAACTGAAGAAGTTTCATATGTGCATTATGGGATAGTCGAACGTTTGCGCACACCAAGGAAGAATCTTGGGTTGGCGGCACCTAGTATCCATATTTAGTTGTAAAACTTGAAAAATAGCTAAGACGGCATATTAAAAGTCTTAACAAGAGTATATAAAAATCCAAATGTGGCAGAAGAGAAGTCCGATAAAATTTTTATATATTTAAAGCTTAAATTTTAAACTAGTACTCACCTGCATTTGTTCATGTTTTTGTTCTTTTTAAGTGCCTACCTACAAGCGAAAGTGATGCATAAAAAATTGTATATTCATACAAACGGGTGCAAGCTTAATTTCTAGCTACATTTTCTCCCAGAAAATTTTATAACTCTTGTTTACAAATTCACTTTTAGGCCACGCGCTGTTAGGTTTCAACAGTTGTTTAGCGGCTTTTATTGTTTTTTTATTGGTTTTTACAATCCTGAGTAAACGTTTACCTATTCAATTCTTTTCAATTTTCGTTTTTTGGTCATATGTTGTTGGTTCCAATGTTTTCCTTACATTGCTAAGTATGTACATATGTATAGATGTTTATAATGATGTGTGTTGAATAGTCTGCAAGCAACATTTTTTAATGACGGAGGAAATGAAAATGATCGTGTCATTTCCAGAATCTTTTATACCCACTGACTGTTACAAAAACGCTTTATGTTAACACAAAAAAAAAATACTAAATTTGCAGTTCCACAGCTTTTTCACAGTTCGAAAGGAAATCCGTTTTAAAAATTTATGACAGTTAAAATGCATTCAAATTTTAAACAATTAGTGACAATTTCATAGAGACACCCACTAATCGCATAACCATGAAAAGAAAAAAGAGACTGCCACATGCATAAGAGAAAGAAGAAAAAAAATTACCTAAAATTCCTAAATGTTCGTAATTTGTGAGCGTGTAAATTAATGTTTTACAAATGATCGAATGGTGGTGATTCTACTACTATCGCCGCCGTCACCAACACCACAACCACCACAACACACAACATCAGCAACAAGCAATGGCTGTGATGGAGGATCGAACGATAGCAGCACTGTATCGACCACATCGACCGGCGATACCGTCATACCCACCATCTATACCGTTAACAAGGCAATACCACTGCCAAACGAAGCAACATATCAGCACTATCAACCACCACAACCACCGGCGCCAACGGCATTTGCACATCAGGAGCACTACCTGTATCAACAGCAGCAGCAGCAGCAGCACCACCACCACCACCATCATCATCTCCTTACTCCCGCCGAGTACGCTCAGCAGCGACAACGTCATCATCGAGCGCCATCGCTGCATGGAAAAACGCCACAAGCGAAACCCCAGCCTAAAACAGCACAACATTCTAGTCATTTGCGTAGCGAGCGAAGTAGAAACGCTCACGAACGCGATAGATATCCGAGCACCGTGCACGCTCAAGATGCGACACGTCCAAACACGAGGCAGCACGGTCGTAGTTACGAGGAGCGCGCAAGAAAGATGTCTGGCACAGCATATACACCGAGAATTATTGTCTCACCACCACCGCCGCCACCATCTCCACCAGCTCAGCGAACTGTGGAGAAAGTTAAGAGCTCAAGAGCAGCAGTTGGTGCGCCGCGTGAACCCAATACAACAGCCTCAACAAGACCAACATCTACACCACCGCCTTTGCCGAAAAGCCAACCACCCTACAGTTCCTATTACAGCTGTTGGTGTGGCGAACAGCAGGCTCATCAACACGCTCACCATTTGTGTACGAATCCGCTACCAAAGCCACCGAGAAGTGGCGCCTTCCATGCAAGTGCTGCCGCATCGAGCACACCAGCTAACGCTGCGACTCGCAGAAGACCAAACGGACGTACGCCCGCCACGGCAACGTCCAATGCACGTTGGTCTATTCCTCCGTCACAAGAACCTGCCACTTCCACCTATCAATGGCGTCAGCATATTACGCCAACTCACTCGCTTCCCTCTTTTCCCCATACTGATTATTGTGCTGCTAAAATACATAAACAACAATTGCCACCAGCCGCCAATGCGAATTACAACTTTAACAATACTAACACCACTGATTTTGTACGCCACGTGACACGTGTTAATTTCTATGATGTCGTTACTTCGCAGGTCGAATTCGAGCCCAAAGATGATAGTGATGAATGCGATACGGAAGCTATTACCAAAGAAGGTGAGTGTAAAATAATTTAAAAACATATTTAGCATAAGTATGAATGCTTTTAAGTACTGTGTACTAAATTCTAAAGTCCATAATAATAGGCGGTGCTGCGTATCGCCACACTAATACCTTTAGTTAAGCGTTGTTGTTGAGCTAAACTAAAAGTAAATATGTACGTGGAAGGAAAACGTTTTACAAACTTTGCACAGTTCATTAGTTAGTGTGAATTTTCACTTTTTAGCTAGACTTCCTAGTACCCATTACTAAAATTGTAGATGTGCAAATTCGTATAGATTTATATATATATATGTATATGTATATGTATGTACATTAGGGTGGTCCCAAACAAAATTAAGTCGGAATTTTAATATTTAGCGGTCGCTCAAAGGACTCAAAGTTTTCCATGCATTTTATGGGGAAAAAACTATTTTTCGTAGAAATAGTATAGAATTCTTGAAAATCAATATTTTTCCATCGGAACGTTTTTTCTCTTCAGGAGACTGCCAGTAATAACACCCAATGGTTTATTTAACTGTTTTTAACACTAACAATGTTTTCCCTAAAAACCCAAAAAATGCCTTGATATGACCCATAAAGATCGCTAATATTAAAAAGTGGTAAAATAAACCATTGAGTATTATTACTGGACATCTCTTGAAACAGAGAAACAGAGTTTTCCGATTGGAAAATTCGAATTTTTTAACAATTTCCACGAAAATGAACAGTCCTTGGGGATGAAGGCATTCAATTTCCAACTTTACTTTTTCACACGCATTTTTAGACCGCCCTAATGTACATATATATGTACATGTGTAATAAATTACTGAAGGTTATATGAAGTCGAGCTCATAATGTTCTACACGATTCTCGAACTATGTATTTACTTAACTGAATATGTGCCCACCTTTTTAGATGTTTGCTTAGGTTTATAAGTAACATAATCAGTAGGCAGAGATTAAGTTCTCCCGCTAGGATTTTAGAGTATTTCAATCAATATCTGCTGAAAATACATAGCAAAAAAACAAGCCAATCTACGGAAATTTGCTTAAGGTTAGATTTGAAATAGCCAGCTGGTGGAATAAGTTTTTTTCCGTCAACAATCGGAGAATCAGTCTTCAATATCTTCCTAATTGGAGATTGAAGTTGGGCTTGGTTGGGCTTGATTTATATTTTTCTTTGTCCCCACTGAATACACAAACAAAGCGTATTAACCTATAGTCTCAGGCAGACAATATCAAAACTCTAGAGTGTACAGTTTTAGCAGTTTTTGATCCCGCCCTTCCCCTTGACAGCAAAATTAGCAAAGCTCTTACCTCCTTCCGCTTCCTCTCCCATTCTGATAATTACGTAAATATTGGTACTTTTTTTCATCTGTTAATGTTACTTTATTGTTATTCATTACTAGAAATTATCACGTCTAGAAAAGGGGAGTTTGTAGTCAAAAAATTATAACGTAAATTTGGTATTTGTGCAAATTAAATTTTCAGCAAAATCAAAAAAGTAGTTAACTAAATATTACTGACATAACACAGTGCTACAAAAAAGCATAAAGTAGAAATACCTGCGAAGTTATGTACATTTTCTGATAGGTATTTTCGAGTAAAACTAAATTTGCCAAACACCCCCAAAATCTTGATTTACCGTTAAAACCCCGGTTTTTCGTACTTTTGAGCACTTATAAGCCTGTAGCCTAGTTTATTATGAACCGAGTTTCGGTCTATTGCCTTGGACCTTTCGAACGATATATATGCGAATAAAAAAACCTTAAGAGATCTGAGTGTATTTATCCACCAAACACAATTTTTTTTTTTACTTTTTTCAACTTTTTTTCAATTTGATTATAAAACTCAATTTAACAACGAGTTAAACGCGTGTTTATTTTCAAAAATCGGATGAAACTTTACTGAGTTATTAAACTTTTTATGAAAACAAAATTTTCGCAAAAATATTATTTTTTGCTATACAACTCGAAAATGTTTGCTTGACCTACCAGAAAATATACATAACTTCCCAGGTATTTTTTGGTGTCGCACAGTGCAATCAGCATCCGGAATATCTGTATTTTGAAGTGTGCATACAATTTTCGCAAGTTAAGCCAAAATAGGCTCATTGCCGCTAAATGTTTTTCTGCGTTATCACTATTATCACTATTTTTTTTATTGGGGTGAACGTTTCGTCGGAATATTTGCTTCATTTTTTATTCGGGTAACTGCACTGCTAAAGCAAATATCTGAGCTTTTCAATAAATGCAGCTTTGGTCACTTGCTATAAGAACTATCCGCTTCAAAATATTGTATATTAAATTATATTTTGCGTATGTTCGTAATTCTTCACCTACAAAATGATCTACTTTTCCTTTTTATTTGTTGGAATTTCCGACATGCTAGAAATATGGTGTATTTCAGAACGATTTTACGTCATCCCTTGTCCAGTTTTGTTGGGGGACAAACCGGTTTCGGCGTTGTGCCATCCTCAGTGTATTGTTGCACTTTTAGTAAGCCATATGTAGATGAAAACGCTGGTCGCGCTGGTGACATTCCAATGTGAACATATATAATTTTTACTTTAAATGGCTCATAGAACTGACTTGAATCCTATATATGTACATATATACATATGTCATATATTTAAAAGTTTTAACCATTTGTTTTTTTGTCACTTAATTTTATAATATTTTTATAAAAATATAATTTATTCCATAATAAGACCGTACAAACCATTAAAGTTTCGTATAATAAGGTACAAGTGCGAGGCAACTTGGACTTACTGTCGAATTTTCGGCATTTGTTTTTATTTGCTGTCGGTGTGGTGCAATTTTTTCGATACAAAGTATATTCGACAATTTTTTTTATAGCACAAAATGAGCGAAGCTTGCACTTTATTATTTTAAAATTTAATGCACTAATGCAAATTTTGTAGAATTTTCCTCATTTTTCTATTACAAGTTTGAAATTCGTTCTTGCATGTTTTTTTTTTTTTAATTATTGAGCTATAATTAATGAACAAAGCAAAAATAGCCAAAACTTGTTAAAATAACGCTCCCCAATTGGTTTGCCCGCCACAGCATCTTTTATTTCTCTTAAACAGTGCAAAAGGTTCGTGGGAACATGTATTTAGCACTAAAAATATGTAACTAGCTCAAGGGGGCTATAAAATCTAATATTTGCTTGACTAACTAGTATCTATGTACAAACGTACAGCGTTAATAGCGGCTACGCATTACTAGCTAATTATTGGCATCCAATAATCCAATAAAAAATGTGTCAATTGGTTTCCGTTCCCATCGATAGTAAAGTACATACATACATATGTAGGTAGTAAGTTTTTCTGTGGAACGAAATACTTTGTAATATCTAAGTAATTACAAAGAAAGAGAAAGTGTAGTAATCAACATACATACATATTTTTAAATATTGATAAGTGCAACAAATAATATATATTTATGCTATTATGCCATATTATCGAAAATAACTACACATAACCAGTTAAAAGTTAACCATAATCACCTACATACATATGTACATACAAACATACTGGTAGTAAAGTACTAAAGTTAGCTTGACTAAGAGCATACAAGCACAATGATAAATTTAATTTTTTCTCATAAATGTGGTTATTATGTTTTTCTGTTAGCCGACACGATGACGTAAAAATGAAATATACATATATCTTTAATCATATAAAAATAAATGTCTCACTGCGCTGACACACTTCGCTTTTTGCGCTCGTTGCACGCCGTGAATTACCTATTTAGTTTAAATGGCAAGCTACCGCCGCTGACCAAATTTGATGAGTGCTGCACTCGCCAAAAATCATAAAAGGAAGTGCATTTTTTTTTTGTTTTTGTGTAATTCTTTTATTCAATTGGCTTGGTTTTTGGCTCGTTAAAGCTAAGCGACGACTGCGGTCGTAGCGGGGCGTCAATTAGCATTGTGTTGGCTAGGCAAAAACATATAAATTAACAGTTATTTGAGGCTATAATTAACAGTTAATAAATGTGCAAAGATTTTAGGCTAACGAACATTTGCTTTTGGCATTCAAATATATGTATGTAGGTTTTAAAGTGACTGCAACGAGAAGTATTATTCTGTATAAACATACATACATACATATATTAAATAAGTTGGTGAAAGGAAAAAATATATTATATTTAAAAGTGCATATCGTCACCTGAAATGCAAAGAGACGTAACAACATCGCAACTGAAATTGAAAAAAGTATGACTAATATTTATTTATTTTTTTATTTATTTATTTTTTTTTCATAAACTTATGTGGGCGTTTTAATGCGATGAAATCCATCATATAAATCAAAAAGTGAATTTTAAATTTGTTATTAGTTATGACTTTCTGCATTTCAGCGATGATGTTTGTTACGTATTTTTGAATTTCAGGTGGCGATATGTGTGTTAGGGGGATTTGTACTTACATATCGTCGCCTGGGTAAAAGATTGCCGTAAGCGCGGTTTTGACGATTTGTAAATAGTTCTAGATGCAGTTATATATTTTGAAATAAGGTCTTTCGATTGGTGTTATCAGTTTTAAGATAGCTCCTTTAGTTTCCAAGATATTGGCTACAATTTTTTCGATAATTTAGTAAAAACTTAGTTAGTGATGCAGTCAAATTAAACTAATCAATATCTTAAAAATGGCATTCTCCATTTTAGTATATCTCCTTTAATTTTTGAGATATTGTGAGTAAAAAGTGTTGTTAATTTAGTAGAAATTTTGATCACATTTTGTCGTATTTCATACAAAGTGGCTGCCAAATTGTGGACAAACGACGCTTACGACAAAATTTTACCAAAGAAAATCTTTCAAAAACTCAAAACTAATTAACAATAAACATTAAAAATTAAATAATTTAAGAATTTTGTGAACAAGTAACATTTTCAGAGACTTTTGAGAAAATCTATCTTCGCGTTTTTGAAAAATTGCATTCCAAACTTCAAACGCGATTTCCCACAACCTGCCGAAATTAAGATACGACAATCTTTTACCCAGTCGACGATA